CTGAATCCTAATGATGAAGGGATGTTGCATTTTATCAGACACTTTTTCTGCATTGATTTATATGATCATATGGTTTTTATCTTTATTTCTGTTAATATGGTGTATTACATTTATGGTTTGGGTATGTGAATTCCTGGAATAAAGCCTACCTAGTCGTGCTGTATAATCTTTTTTTATATGTTGTTGGAGATGATTTGCTAGTATCTTGTTGAGAATTTTTGCATCTATATTTATCAGTGGTATTGATCTGTAGTTTTCCTTCCTTGTCATGTCCTTGTCTCTTTTTGGAATGAGGGTGATGATGGGGGGGGGTTCATAAAATGCATTTGGGAGGTTCCTTCCTTTTGGATCTTTAAAAATAACTTGAGTAGAATGGGGGTTAACTCTTCCTTAAAAGTTTTTAGAATTCAGAGGTGAAGACATCAGGAATGGGGCTTTTCTTTGTTGGGAGTTTATTTGTCACTGTTTCCATCACATTGCTTGTTACGGATCTTTTCAGGCTTTCTGTGTCCTCTTGATTCAATCTTGGTAGATAATGTGTCCAGGAATTTGTCCATCTCATCCAGATTTTCTTGTTTGTTGGCATATAGTCACTAACAATGTCCTCTGATATTTTGTATTTCTATATCTGTTATAGTATTGCCTATTTCATTGATAATTTGATTTATCTTGTTCCTTTCTCTTTTCTTAATTAGTCTAGCTAATGGTATGTCAATTTTGTTTATCTTTTCAAAGAATCAGCTTTTGCTTTCATTTATTTTCTACATAGTTCACTTATTTTCTATTTCATTTATTTCTGCTCAAATTTTTATTATTTCTTTTCTCTTGGCATTTTGGGATTTTTTTTGTTGTTGTTTTTCCAATTCTCTGAGGCATGATGATAGGTTGTCCATTTGCCATCTTTTCATCTTTTCCTTATGCACATTAATTGCTATAAATTTCCCTCTTATGACTGCTTTTCCTGTGTTTCATAGATTATGGAAACTCTTGTTTTCATTATCATTGGTTTCCATGAATCTTTTGATTTCAGTCTTAATTTCTTCAGCAATTGTGAAGTCATTTAGGAGTAGGTTATTTAATTTCTATGTGATTGTGTATTTTGTGGTTTGTTTTCTGAAATTAATATCAAGCTTAATTCCATTGTGGTCAGAGAAGAACGCTGGTAAAGTTTCTATGTCTTTGAATCTGTATGGATTTGTTTTGTGCCCTCTTCTATGGTCAATCTTGTAAAGGTTCCATACAGGGGTGAGAAAAATGTATATTTCATGGTTTTGGAGTGGAATATTCTATAGATGTCTGTCAAGTCCATTTGATTTATGTTATCATTGAGATCCTGCATCTCTTTGCTTATTTTTGGTCTATATGATCAGTACAGAGGAGATAGGGGGGTGCTGAGACCCCCCAAAATAAGTGTATTGCATTTTATCTCTCCTTTTAGCTCTATCAGTCTTTCCTACACATATTTGGGTGCTCCTAAGTTGGTTGCATAGAAATTTATAAGCATTATATCGTCTTGATGAATTAGCCCTTTTACTACTATATAATGACCTACTTTTTCAGCTCTGTTTTGGTTTCTATTTGCATGGAATACCTTTTTTCCAGCCATTCACTTTTAGTCTATGTATGTTTTTATCCATGAGGTGCCTTTCTTGCTGGCAATAACTAGAGAGTTTCTGGGTTTTTTAATCCATTCAGCCAATCTGTGTATCTTGATTGGATAATTTAATCCATTAACATTCAACGTTATTATCAATATTTCCAGACTAGTCCCTACCATTAAGTTGGCTATTTTCTAGGTTGTTTTTGTTCTCTTATTTCTGTTTGTTTCTTTTTAGTTTTCCTTATATAGTATTCCCTTTGGAATTTCTTGGTGAGCTGGCCTGGTGTTGGTAAATTCTTTCAGGTTTTGTTTATCTGAGGATGTTTTTATCTTTTCTTCCCATTTGAGGAATAATTTTGTCAGGCATAGTAATCTTGGTTGAAATTGTTTTTCGTTTAACACTTTGAATACATCTTCCCATTCTTTCCTTGCTTGCATTGTTTCTTGTCAGAGGTCCAATGTTAGCTGATGGGATAACCTTTGTTAAGTTACTTGACACTTCTCTCTTGCCAATGTTAGAATCTTGTCTTTGTGGTTTTGGCCAGTCTGGTAATGATGTATCATGGAGAAGATCTTCTTGGGTTGATTCTCTTTGAGGTCCTTTTTTATTTCTTGGAGCTGGATGTTTGAGTTCTTTTCTAGACTTGGAACATTTTCTTTCAGTATTTTGTGGAATAGATTATCAATGCCATTATTCATTTCTTCACCTTCTGGGATACCAATTATTCAGATGTTTGCTCATTTAATAATATCTAGTATTTCTCATATATTGTCCTCATTTCTTTTTGTTTGTTTATTTATTATTTCAATCTTTTGGTGATATTTACTAGGTCAGAGGCTTTGTTTTCTACATCTGAGACTTGATCTTCTGCATAGTCTAATCTATTTTTAATACTTTTGAGGGAGGTTTTGATTTCTTGTATTATAGCCTTTATCTCTAACAGTTCTGTTTCTTTTTTAAGGTGCCTAATTCTTCTTTCAAATTGTGGAAGGACTTCCTTATCTCCTGGAGCTCATTGTCTCTTTTCTCTTGCATATCATTCTGTTTTGTCACTATGAATATTCTGAATTATTTATCTGACATTCCCATGAGTTCCATCGTACTGTCTGTGGATGAATGTTTTTATCTTGACAAGGAATTGTTCTCTTCCCTTGGGGGAGAGATAGTTTCTTGGCTTCTCATATTTCTTGTGCCTCTGCACTAGCTTCTGGTCATCTGATGGATTATACTAATTTCTTGGAGTTAATTCTGAGAGTTAAAATGTGTGCAGAATGAGGTGAGCTGTGAGCTCTCTGTAGGTTTGTTTCCCTAAAGCTCACCCTACAACCTGCACTATTCCAGCCAAAACTGGATATTCCAATGGCTGACCAGTTTTCTTGAGAATAGGTGCATCTGGGGATGAGCTGCCAGGTTTCAGCTGAGGAAGAACATTGGGGTCATGCAGCATGCAACTGTGCCATGTGCTTCAGGAAATTATGAATTTGAAAGCATTATGAGTGGGTAAAAGGAAGCACAAGATCTAATGTGGTCTCCTGGAAGTGGTAGGGAGACAATGGAATTTCCAAGGCAATCTCTGGCTTTGGTCATTTTCACTGACTGATGCTACTGCCACTCCAGGGCTGAGAAAGATCAGGAAAGTCTCATGTTCTTCAGTATATCATTATCAGAACGTGCCTACTTGGGACCAATAGGTGTGGTGTTTTAGGTGTTGGACTCTCACATGGCCAACTGTGGTTCAAGTCCCAGACTTGGTGACTTGCTTTCTCACTTTTCTTCTCTCTCTCTCTTACACAATTTGTTTTAATATCCCTAGCCTCAGTTTCCTTATACAATGGTAAGAATAATAACTCTGTATTCTGAAAAAAAAAAAAGCTCTGCATTCTGGTATTGTAAGGATTAAAGGAGACAATCTATGTAAAGTGCTCAGTAGAGTACTTGTCATGTACCAAATGGCTAGGAAATGTTAGCAGCAGGATAATGACAATGCCAATGACAAATATTCAAGTATAGGGAGAAAATGTAGGGCTTCATATTTTCTGTTTCAGAATAAATGGTGAGGAAATGGAGAGGCATGAGTTCTTCATATGTCCTTTACTCTAAAATGAGATACTAGGAGGGTTTTTTTTAAAAAAAATTTTTCTGTGAAATTTTTGTCTACCTCCCAGAGGAATTTACTATTTAGCTCACCTTACTCTACTTGTGTATACATTCTTCTGCAATGATGAAACCAATGTAGATCTTATCTCTATTCCAAGATAATACCAGGGATGAACATGCCCAGAACCTTACTGGGAAGGTACTCTCTGTATAAAAGATTGAATAAAAGGAAAAAAGAGGCAAAAGAAGAAAATATAAGATTCCTGAGAAAAAGAGAAAGCTAGGAAGTAGGTAAATTGAAGGTAAATTCAGAATTGGAAATAATAATGAATTTATAAATGGAGATTCAGGAGTTAGAAGATTTGGGAGTCAGCTGCACATACCATTTTAGAAGAAATCTTGCTTTCTAATCATCTTCTCTAGTCTCCAGATGTTTCAGAGTGATGGAAAATCAATCCAGCATCTCTGAATTTTTCCTCCGAGGAATATCTGAATCCCCAGAGCAACAGCAGTTACTCTTTGGAATTTTTCTATGCATGTATCTTGTCACCTTGACTGGAAATGTGCTCATCATCCTGGCCATTGTCTCAGACCCGCACCTCCACACTCCCATGTATTTCTTTTTGGCCAACCTGTCTTTTGTTGACATGGGCTTAACAACCTCCACAGTTACCAAGATGCTGGTGAATGTACAGACTCAGCGTCACACCATCTCCTATACTGGTTGCCTCACACAAATGTATTTCTTTCTGATGTTTGGTGATTTGGACAGTTTCTTCCTTGCTGTGATGGCATATGACCGCTATGTGGCCATTTGCTGCCCTCTTTACTACTCCACAGTCATGAGTCCCCGAGTTTGTGCCCTGCTGCTTGCATTGTGCTGGATCCTCACCAATGTTGTGGCCCTGACTCACACCCTCCTCATGGCTCAGTTGTCCTTCTGTGTTGTTGGTGAAATAGCTCACTTTTTCTGTGACATAACTCCTGTCCTGAAGCTGTCATGTTCCAACACCCACATCAATGAGTTGATGGTTTTTGCTTTAGGAGGCACAGTCCTCATTGTCCCCTTTATATGTATTGTCATCTCCTACATCCACATTGTTTCTGCTATCCTGAAGGTTCGAACCTCTAGTGGGATGAGCAAGGCATTTTCCACCTGCAGTTCCCATCTCTGTGTTGTCTGTGTGTTCTATGGAACCCTCTTCAGTGCCTACTTGTGCCCTCCCTCGGTTGCCTCTGAAGAGAAGGACACTGCAGCAGCTGCAATGTACACTGTAGTGATTCCTATGTTAAACCCCTTCATCTATAGCCTAAGGAACAAGGACATGAAGGGGGCCCTAAAGAAGCTCCTGAGTCACAGGAGAATTTTTTCTTCTTAGCTATAACAATAGCAATGTTTGATGAAAAGACACAGACTTGGAGTCAGACAAATTGGCTTCAGTTGGAGTCTCCCACATAGTAATCATCAGATTCTTTGTAGCCCATTTGCCTAATCTCTCTGAGTCTTAGTTTTCTTATCTATAAAATGAAGAAAATAGGAGCTAGAGGGTGATGTAATAGTAAAATATGATGCTTTGTGAGGCTGATCCATCTGGAAATATTGCAGGTTCACATCTGAAGACAACCCTGATATGCGAGGCAAGCATGCCAATGATCTGGGGCTGGCAGAGGCTGGGGGTGGATCATGGTGTTGAGACCCTTTTGGGGGCACCATTTCTCCATCTCTCTCTCTCTCTCTTGGAGAAGTAAATAAATATTTTTAAAATTAAAATAATAGTTTCTATCTAATAAGGTAACTTGGTGGATTAACCGAAATAAATTATGAAATGCATGCAGTGTAGGGGCCAGCACGTGGCAAAATGATTAAGGCGTTTGACTCTCACATGGCCCATCATGGTTTGAGTTCCAGGCTGGTGGCTTGAAAATAATGCCAGGCACATGTGCATATGTGCCCAAAATCCTGAGAGGAGAATGGAGGAGATGGGATTGCAGTGTGGCCATCCCCACCGAATGGTGATTTCTCACTTTCCCTCTCAATGTTTCTCTCTCCATCTCTCTGGTTAGTCCACTAGGATGCAACCCATGGCGAAAAGTTAATAAAGAAAGCAAAAAAGAGTATAGCTTTTAAAATTTTATTTATTTTTTATTTATTTTAGTGTGTGTGAGAGAGGGTATGCATGCACATGGAAGGAGGGAGAGAGAGAGAGAGACAGGTATGTCTGACAGTGCTTTGCTGTTGTTATCCTCTGTCCCAGCCTCCCAGTTAGCTAGGGTTACAGATGTGCACTATCATGCCTGGCCTGTTCAGGTTAGTCTGGGAAACCCAGGCCTCCTATGTGAACCCAGTCTCACACAGTGGTACCTTATCACTTATGCCACCATAGCTAGGCCAATGATATCTCTTCTATATTGTTACTATTGTTACTCTACATCTTTCTCTCAACTCAAAAGTCCAAAAATTTTTCTCTGAGATTAATTTGTTTAACAAATACTAACCGAACATCTATTACATGCTGAGAACTATTATAAGCGCTAAGGTTATAACACTGAGCAGACTAAGTTTGGGTTTTTATGACACTTTCTTAAAAAGCAATTAATTCATCATCATTAAAAATTTGGGGACCTCTTGGTCAACAACCCTCCATTACCTCTGTCCTCACCCAACTCTAACCTCATTGTTCTACTCTCTATTTCTATATGTTCAACTTTATAAGTGAGATCATGGAGTATTTGTCTTTCTATATTGGCTTATTTCACATAGCATAATGTCCTCTAGGTTTATATATGTTGTTGCAAATGAGAGGATTTCCCCCACCATGTGCGTGCACATACACACACACACACGCACAATGGTTACCAGAGGCTGGGGTGGGAAGGAGAGAATGGGAAGTTGTTGATCAAAGGGTATAAAATTTTAAAGAGAGAGAAAGAAAACCTTTTTATATCTATTGCACAGCAGGGTGACTATAGTCAATGATAATATATCATTATATATTTCAAAATAACCAAGAGATGTTTTGCTGTGATGATAGTTGAATGAAGGATGGATATGTTCTAGATTGATTTAATCATGTCATATTGTGTACATATATGAGAACATTACATTGTGTCCCATAGATGTTTACAATGAATAATTTTAGTCAATAAAAATTGGGGAGTTTTTGTCTTATTTATGGAACTAAGGAGTGGGGTTTAATACAAAAGAGAATGAAGGACAGAGGTAACTTTCTAGGCAATACAGAATGGATAGGGTCCGCATCAGATGACTGAAATTCAGAGTTCTGTACTGATTGCTGACTTCCTTGGCTTGCCAATATTTCACCAAAAAAGGAGTTAAAGCTCCTTGTACTGACTGCACCCTGCTGA